GACCCAGAGTTTGAGTCCATCCTGGATATAGTGGATCCAAACAGGTGAGAAACATCATCTAAGGCAGCTTTCCCCATCTTTGTTCCTAAAGACACACCAACATACATGGATGTCTCCCTCATCTGACCCATTCATTTCAGGTTTCAAGTTTCTTCTAATGTTCTGTGAGTTAATTTGTTTGATAGGAAAGAGGTTGAAAATGTGTACTGTTGGTGTGCCCAACAGAGTTGGTAAACACTAACCTAAAGGATGAGCAAAATATTCAGTTTTATCTGTTGATAAGCTAACACCAATTTTGCTGGTTGCAGGGATGGAAACGTGTCCTTGCAGGAGTACATGGCTTTCATGATCAGCCGAGAAACGGAGAACGTCAAGTCAAGCGAGGAGATCGAGAGCGCTTTCCGTGCTCTGAGCGCAGAAAACAAACCCTACGTCACCAAGGAAGAACTCTACCAGGTACAAACCCAAGCCATTAATAGCTTGATCTCGTTTTAATGTTTGGTGTTGATCTTTGACGATGGTCATTGTGTTTGTAGAACCTGACAAAGGAACAAGCCGACTACTGCATTTCCCATATGAAGCCCTACCTAGACAGCAAGGGCCGCGAAATCCCATCAGCTTTCGACTTTGTGGAATTCACCCGCTCGCTCTTCGTCAACTGATTACCCGCCCCCTGCCTGCCAGTGACCAATCGGGACGCGTTTCCCCACCCCTCACAAGAACACACAGCCAAACTGCATGGATCTGAATTGAGAATTCTCTATAGCACCCAGTATAGCAATATCTGTATCTTGCTATCACTCTTAACCCCTGCGTATTTATCTGACACTTCCTCATGCTTCACTGACAATAGTGTAGTGGATCTGTCTGCATTTTATTGTGGTTGTTTTAGCTGTTAAGTGCTTTGCTTTGTTTAACAATCCTATAGAGAGGATATGCTGTAACATCGCTCACGAGACTGCAGTGTGCTTCAATAAACGCTACTGGTTATAACTGGAAAGAGTTGTTGGAGTTTTTATTTAACAGTGCAGATGCACAACTCTCAAACCTGATATTTTCAGTTCTCTTATGACTCAGTCTGCCACCTCGTTGGCCAGTTGCTCCAGCATTGCCGTCTCCTTGGCTCCTTGCTCCGTTAACTCCGCACTGAGCTGCCAGATGTTGACGCTGCCATCTGCATTGCCCACTGCCAGCAGATTTGTGTGTTTGGGGTTGAACTCCAGGCAATACGCCGGTTGACCTCCTGCATTCTGGTCAATCGTGGCCACTGGCCTCAAAGACCTCCGACCCAAATCAAACATTTGGACCAAACCTAACAGAGAAGAGGTAATGTTATTTTACATTTGACTCAAAAAAAGCCTGAATAGTATGACAAGTCACAGATTTTTGTCAGTTATTATAACCAAAAGAACACAAATGAAACTCTGGGTAGATAAAATGGTAAGTCATTAATAACCTATTGTGATTATTTTGTTGGACAGAAAAAAAAAAGATCTGAATTGGGTCAATAGCTGTTTCCATACAGTCATGCGAATTAAAGTTATGAGCAAAACTGGAACATCTCTTAAAACATTTGCGAATAAAGCTTAGTTTCCATCCAACAAGTTAAAGAAAACTAAATCTCCATTTCTTGATAAACTGGCACCAAATGACAAAAAGAAACATGGACCATAATATCGAACCAGTTTGTTGAGAGACTTTGCCTAAAAATCACAACTTTTTTGATAAGGTTGCTTTAATTTATTTGGTAAACCTGTTTCCAGTGTAGTTCATGCACATTATTATCTTGTGCATAAGAATTTACCAGCTATGATCCGAGGAAGGTCAAACCACAAATGAGCGGGAGGGCATTGGTTACCCATTGGTGCATGAGGACAATGATATAATCCCATCCATTCTAAGGCAACACACGGCTGTGTCCAAAATCACCCACTACTCGAGTAGGTGCTACATTTGAATTGACTACATGACCATTAGAAAAGTATGTTCTGTTTATGTTCATTATAAAAGAATATTCTGCTGTGAGACCCTGGGTCGAGTCAATCTTCAAGACAATGGTGTTTCTTTGTGGCAGTGCACTTTTTTTAGCAGGATTGCACTTGTTGTCACACTGCAAACATAGTTGAGGAACCTTGCTAAGAACATTATGAAGAGTTCAAGGTGTTGCCCTGGTCTCCAGATACTCTACATCTTCTCTAGCATCTGTGAGATATGCTGGATAAACCATTTCAATCCACAGCAGCTCCAGCAAACTACAAGACTTGAAGGATCTGCTGCGTTAATATCTTGGAGCCACAGGAAACCTTCAAGAGATTGCATCAGCGTGTTTATGCCATTTTAACCCAGGATGAGGGACCAAAAGCATAATAGGTGAGTGGTCATAATGATTTGGCTTTTGTGTATTTCAGCAGTTCTAATCAGTATTACTAATAAGTTTTCCCAAAAACGTATTCTTAAAATGGCAACATCTCACCTTGTCCTGTGACTGCAGCAAAGACTAGAGGGCGCGTAGGTGACCATCTCACCCCAAACACATATGAATCAGACACCCGTAGAGCCAGCAGAGGGCAAGGCTGCAGAACACTGTGTAGGTGAGCCAAACCATCTGTCCCGACACTTACAAACAGATTCCTGATGACAAACACTGGATGTTAAAGTGATCGCCAAAGAGTTTTACAGAATATATTTTCTAAATACCCATCGCTCACCTATGGAATGGTGAAAAGTGGACTGAGTGTATAGGGCCCCCTCGTGGTGAGAAAGAAAACTGCATTGGGGCCCGCAATATCACACTTTCGCCATCAGATGGCACTGCGGCAGCTGTCTCGCTGCTGAAGGAGCATTTGAGCACAAGACCTCCTTCTGAGCCCACCAAAAATGTGTCCAAATCCCAAGGGGAAAGTGCAACAGCCGTCACTCCAATAGTCAAGCTCCCTCGGGTCTTCAGGAAGAGAATTGTAATATTAGGGTGAAATGCAAATAAATCTGAGTATCTGTATTTGTTGAAAAAAAAAGGTTGCATTGTGAGATGAACTTATAGGAAATGTGTGATTTCAGTGTCTATCAGGGTCACGGCACCATATTTTTTTGAAAATTTCTGAACCTAAACTAGGAGAATTGTTATAAGCAGAATTCTTTATTGAGAATGTGTTGGTTGTTCTGCAGTAAACGGGCATCTCTTTAAAGAAGTGAAGGAATAGTCTACATGAGGTTAATTTGAGCAAATTTGTCCTATCTAATATTTATGTGTTATGGAGAACAGAGTTTATACAGAGAACTGACATGACAAGGTCTTGTATAGACTCTGAGGTTTCACCTGCCCTGAATGGCCTGAAACTGCCCTCACCCAGTTATTTATGGAGACAAATGCACAGTACGACTGTGCCCTTAGCATTTGTATTACTTTGGAATCTGCCAATGCAGGAAGGCAAAAGATTTATTGTCTCTCACACCTGGGCTGCTAGAGTTTTGAATGAAATTATATTTTTAAAAAGGCAAAGAATACTTTTCAGTGTTTTTGAATATTATTATTTTTTAATATTATTACCAAATTAATATTATTGTTCATTTGAAACTAGATAATATAGATTATATTTTCACAGACTGATGCATAAAAGTTACTCAAAAGCATTTTTTCTTTTTAATTTACCTAGATCACAATATATTGTAATGCAACACAAATCAAACTATTTATATTGTGGATATTTACATTATGTATTGTGTACAGTTGACTGGTAACTGACCATTACCAGTTTGTGAATATTAATGGACAGCCTTCACAAGTCAGCCCAGTAAAGTATGGGGTGCCTCAAGGATCTGTTTTAGGCCCTTTGCTGTTTACAATTTACATGCTACCTCTGGGAGACATTATTAGAAGATATGGGATCAGCTTTCACTGCTATGCAGATGATACTCAATGATATATTTCAACTAAACCTGATGAGATGTCTGAACTGTCTAAGCTAACTGAGTGTATTAAAGATGTTAAAGACTAGATGACCAACAATTTTCTTCTCTTAAACTCAGACAAAACAGAATTATTACTTATTGGGCCTAAATCCTGTACACACCAGATCTCGCAACTCGGTCTACAATTAGAGGGATAAAAAGTTAGTGTTAGCTCTACTATAAAAGATCTGGGTGTCATATTAGACAGCAATTTAACTTTTGACAATCATATATCTCATGTCACAAAATTGCTTTCTTTCATCTGAGAATTTTCGCTAAGTTACGAGGTATACTATTCATCTCAGATGCAGAAAAGCTAGTTCATGCTTTTATGACTTCCAGGCTGGATTACTGCAACGCTCTATTTGTTGGCTGCCCAGCATTCTCTATTAACAAACTTCAGTTAGTACAAAATGCAGCTGCAAGAGTTCTTACCAGGTCTAGAAAATATAATCATATCACCCCAATTTTATTCTCCTTACTCTGGCTGCCTGTTAAGTTTCGTATTAAATTTAAAATATTGCTTCTTGCATATAAAGCTTTAAATAATCTAGCTCCTTTTTATCTAGCCAACCTTCTGTCTCGCTCCAATCCAACTCCCTCTTTAAGATCTCAAAACTCAGGGCTCCTGGGAGTACCTAGAATAGCAAAGTCAAGTAAAGGAGGTCAAGCCTTTTCATTTATGGCTCCTAAACTCTGGAATAGCCTTCCTGATGACGTCCAAGGCTCAGACACACTCTCCCAATTTAAAACTAGATTAAAGACCTATCTGTTTAGTAAAGCATACACTCAGTGCATCACTTAACGGGTTTCAACACAGGTTACTGCATCTTGTTTATATACACTATGAACAGCAGCTACGCTAATTATTCTCTTTATTCTCCATTTCCACCTGGGGATACTCTTCCCGAGGCCCTCAGACTATGCAGAGTCACTTTATTGATCCAAGACCAGCGACGAGATAAATCCAAGGTTTCCATATCCTGGACCAGCCGTATCCTGAGCAGCTGCTGTGGTGGTCATGTGATTCTTGTGACGCTCCATGGACAGACGAGTCTTCGCTAAGGTCCAGCTTCCAGTCTCCGCCGCTGAGACTGCATCTCTGCACAAGACGTTTGGCCAGCAAAGAAATTGAAATGGTCGTGCCCAACTGAGTCTGGTTTATCTTAAGGTTTTTTTTTCTTCACTTTCACCAATTGGTAAAGTTTTTTTTCCCCTCTCTGCTGTCGCCACTAGCTTGCATAGTTTGGGATCGGTATAGCTACGCATAGATGGATTTCCTCTTCAGTGTTTAGGCCCTCAGTAGTGATTATTAAACCACACTGAACTGAGCTGAACTGAACTTAAAACACTAAATACCGAACTACACTGTTCCAATTTACTATGACCTTTTATGTGAAGCTGCTTTGACACAATCTACATTGTAAAAGCGCTATACAAATAAATGTGAATTGAATTGAAAATTAAATATGGGGTTTATGCTTTAATATTTTGATATCTATTAGAAATCTATTTATAAAACTCCGCCCTGATGTAATAACAAATTTAGAATCTTAAAAAAATAATATATAATTAAAAAAAAAAAGTACCATGCTGATAGTCTAGTAGTCAGTGGCCGACATATCAGGCACCCTGAGTTCAAGTCCAGATTCTCTTAGACTTTTCCCAATCCCATTACCCCTCTCTTCTCCAACTTTAAGTACCAATGTAAAATTTAACCTAATATTGTGCATATAAATTATGAATGTTATTCCACGACTATTTTATGACACTCACCTTGCTAGCTGCTCCACTTTGAGGCATTTGCTGTCGGACAAGAGCATATCCAGAGCTCAAGAGGAGTTTGGCTTCAGATCCGTCTATTGTCCACAACAGGACTCTTCCTCCTGAACCGGCACTGAGTACAGAAAACTCTCCTCTGCGAGCTCCTGGGACCCAGTTTATCTGTACATAAAGACAAACTCTGCATTAGTTGATGACGTATTTATCACATCACTGTCATAAACTATTTTACAGGTTTAGTACCTGATATACTGGTTCACGGTGGGTATCGGCAGACATGCCAGTCTGAGCCAAAATGAGGTCCTGTGAGCGACTTGTGTCCCAAACTACCACCTCACCACTGTACAAACCCCCTAATACCACAGTAAAGAGAACCGGAGGAAATTTAATTAGTTAATTTAATTAGCAAACAATATTTATTTGTGCCTAATTACTGAGGGAGTGGCTCATTTGAACAATCCATAATATGAGAGTACTGTAGGTTTAAAATAATAGGTTTTCTTAGGACTTTACTCTGCGTAAGCATGCTTAAAATATTTATATTTGTTAGAAAAAACATATATTTTTAAATTTAGATTTTTTTTACTTGTTTTTTTTCTTTTTAACCTTGACAGTTTGAGGTTTCCAAAAAGATAACCAAGGTTGTATTTACTTTAAAAATCAACAACTAATAATTACAATTTCAAAAAAGTTTTTTTTCTTTTATCATGTTTAAAGGGTTTATTTACCACTGTGGTTTGTCACTTACATCAATAGATTGCACATCACTACTATTGACTATCTTAAATGTTAAAAACAATTGTATTGTTTGCTTTTTGTATAATTGAACTACAGTGCTCAGCATAATTAAGTACACACAATTTTGAAAATGAATACTTTTATCCATTTCCCAGTGAATATAGGCAATGTATTTTGGTGCATTTAAACAAAACAGATTAAACAAAACAGATATATTTAATAAAATATCATTTTAGTCACCAAACATATTTAGAAAATGAAAAGTTAATACAATTAAAGTCAAGCAAAATATTGCAAAAATTAATTACAACATACAAAATTTCAACTTAATTTTTTTTTGCTTTTGCTTCTTGATTTTATCTCTTTTTTAAATATGGATTTAAAACTTTTCTGTAAAATATAAATTTAGGTCTACTAGTTTTTGGAGTGTTATCGTAGTTATTTTGTTAGATAAGCTCCAGGTTTGGCTTTAGTATTGACTAATGCATATCCACAAATATTGTACAGCTTCCTATTAAAAATACAAATTCAAAAGAGAGCTTTGTGAGGAATGGACTTGTATATGCTGAGCACTGTACGAAAAATTTAACAATGGCCAAAATGTGTGATTTTATGTAAAACTTTCTTCAGAAAAAATTTTCAGATTTGCTTTTCCCCCCTTCTATTTTGAAATGATCATAAAAAAGAAATAAATCATAAAATGATTGATTAACCATTTTTAAAAAGCAAATGCTAAGTCACAGTAAGATGTTTTCCAATTTTAGACTTTCAAATATTTTTTTTCCCTTAAAAGATTTTTTTTTTTTTAGACATAAGTTTGTGAGAGATGTTTTTTCTTTTCTTTAAAAGAAATGTGTGCCCATACCAGCTACAACAGACGGTCTCACAGGATGAAAGCACAAACACATGACCGGTGTGGCCACATCTATGATCACATCTGGCCGCTTTGGGTTTAGGTTCTGCCGGTCCACGTTCCATGTGCACACACAAGCCTTCTCATTGCTCCAATCGCCATCATCCACACTAATCCCAGAAATACAACATTTAACACAAACCCTTAAAAAATCTTGTACTTTTTAATATACAATAAACTGTTACCGGCCAAATCCACAGGCTATGACCGAACCAGTGCAGTTCCAGGACACACTAGTGACTTGCAGACTCTTTTCCTGAGCATCAACATGCTGAAGACGGTACATGCAGGATACCTGTGCAACAAATCACAACTGTGAATATCATGAAAGCAATTATTAATACTTTAGTTAAGCATATAAATGATCTCACAGACTCGTTTTGTTCCTCCCAGTTCACTTCAAACCCATCAAAAGCATGACTCTTGGAGTTTTTCACCAGTTCTCTGATAACCACATCTTCAGCTCTACGCATGAAGTCCAACAAACCAGGAAAGTCTGTTAGATCTCGGTCTAATGAGAGAGTTTGGCCGCTCTGGTCTTGTGTTTGGGTGCCGTTTTCTGACACATCTTTGGCTTGTGTTTCAGTCTCTGTTGTGTGAACTGGACGAGTTTGACAGCTTCTCTGGGAAAGAAATATCGCAAACACATCACACTAAAGGACTGATATTTCGTCAGCTTCAAGGTAAGCAAACGTCAACTTACTGATTCTTGTGTTTGCTGATGTGACTTTCTCCATGTCGATTCTGCACCAACTAAATCAAGCGTTTCGTCTGTAAACATGTTCAGGCTTTAACAGTAAGCGACATTAAACTATTTAATCTTTATATCGAATATAAAACGGCATTAGTCTTTGTTAACAAATCTAACATTAACGTTAAATGACTAACTACATCGTCAAAGTTAGCTAGGAGCTAGCGACTATTTTCATAAAGAAAAACAGTTTTTCTCCACATGGGTGAATTTTTATGTTCGTTAAATCAAAATATGCTTCTCCAATTTGTGAAACACTTATTAAAACAGTTGTATAGCTATTATTACAATATTGTATTGTGTTTGGTCATTAGAAACGCCGAGCACGGTCTTGTGTCATTGTCCTGGATGTGATATCCGTAACTGCGCTCCCATGGATACGGTGAGCCAATCGATGATCGGCTACCCGCTCTGCGTCACTAGTGTTTGCATCTTATTGGTCAACCTATTTTCAGCGGTCTCGCGTTGATATTACATAAAGGACCTTTTGTAGTGGGTTATTTTTTCGAAAAGGAAGCTTTAACGTTATTGATCGAGTGATAGGCACTGTCGCCTCACAGCAGGAAGGTTGCTGGGTCAGTTGGCATTTGTTTGGAGTTCGCATGTTCTCCCCATGTTCGCATGTTCTCCCCGTTTTCCGAGTGGTCTGGTTTCCCCCAACAGACCAAAAACATGCGCTATAGGTGAACTGAATAAACTAAATTGTCCGTAGTGTGAGTGAGTGCATATGTGTATACGTGTTTCCCAGTGTTGGGTTGCAGCTAGATGGACATCCGCTGTGTAAAACATATGCAGGATAAGTTGGTGGTTCATTCCGCTGTGGAGACCCAGGTTGAATAAAGGGATTGAGCTGTAGGAAAATCAATGAATAAACTTTTTAACAGACTGGTAAGTTAGGCAACAGAATGTTGAATGCTGACACTAACATGAGATTTTGCCTTAACACAAAATGTGACCCCTTCTTTGCCAATATTACTAATCACTGAACACTAAGATGTCGACTCTAAACTCGTGTAAGTATATACAATGCAACTAAAAATACACAGCTTTTTTTCTTTGCATAAGCATGTTTAAATGTTCTCAGTATGACTTCACATTTGCTTTTAATTTTTTAAAAATAAAAAGGGAAAAAAGCTAGTCTGAAATATTTTACTGAGAAAAATCATACATAAGATTACACATTTGACCATTACTATATTACTTTGTCTTGTCATTTTAGATAAATTATACAAAACAAAACCTATTCAAATATTTTAATGTTTATGATAGTGATAAGTAGTGATGTCATTACAGTTCATCATAAAAGGTGTATGTGAACGACAGACAAAACAATTTTATTAATATTTAATTAACGGTTTTAATAAAAACTAGTACAGAATGTTGACTTCGCCATGAAACCCCACATCTAATATATTCACATTTTCTTGACTGTCTTCATCAATATTACTGAACACAAAAATGTCAACTCTCTTATATACAAGTATAAAATGCAACTAAATATGTTTAGCCTTGCCACTTCTATAAAAATGTCTACAAAATGTTTACTGATTAAACTGATTTCCATTGTTTTCCACATACTTATCCAATTCACTTGGTATATTAAAATATTTACTGTAATCACACCAAGCAGAATCTATATAAATAAACAACTTCTACATGATGTGAATCAGTAACCACATTTATAGCAGAATGATGATTATAGCGTATTGATCAATCTGAGATGAACATTTCCCTGTAACTGTATTTGCATAAATAAGCATAACAGCATTATCTGGCTCTAGCTATATTTCTAAAGCTCTAATTTGAGGTGTAAGAACATAAGGTGAACATTAACCCAGCAGTCATAATTCAAATGTACTAGAATTCAACTCGTCTAAATTGCCAATAACAGTTACATAAAGCACAACCCTTTCTAAAGACAGACTGTGCTCTAAATGTACCGATTTGTTGATCTCCAGTAAAAAACAAAACAAAAGCAAGTGGAGAAAAGACAAGTTGTAGATGTCTTTAAGATTCTACAGGCTTTATTATCTCATTTAAATAATCCTTTAATTAGCCAAGCTCAAAATTACAAGAGGAAGTTTTTTTGTGTTTTGTTTTTATTAAAAATGTTTCAAACCTCATGGGTGTCTGTAAAACATTACAATGAAAATTCAATCAACATAAACCCAAATGTTGATGTGTCAAATGCCCACTCGCCCCACCCGAACCCATTGAACTGTCAACAATAATAACTGCCATACCCTGATATTGACCCCAAAACATTTACAAGAGGTGACAGGAGCTAGCTGGTGCTTTCCTTTTGTCCAATATATCACATAGGAAAAACAGTGTCAACTCTTTGGGGCCCACCTCTGCATTAAAGAAAATATACAAAACAAAAAGAAAAGAAAACAGTGGGAAGGTATGTACGCTATGATTAGATCACTGCACCATGGCTTATTACTTCAACTCACAACCATTCACAGAGAAAGAAAATCTTTATATACTTAATATATAAACTGCTATTTACTTCAGTTTAGTCTACAGAGGATGACGTGCAGATTGTTAATTTTGTCTTTGGAGATGGTTGTAATTAAAGATGAGACGCAAGAGGCTTCAGCAACGAGATGCCACTAGTTTTCCAATGCAGGTACTGAATGTCCAGGGAATTAACTGGGTTTTGACATGGTCAGGACAGGAGAGGCTTCAGTAGAACAGAAGATGGAGCACAAACAAAAATAAAAATAAAAAAAGAAAGCTTTTTTTTTTGCTCCCGTGGTTGGAGGATGACTTCAAAAAGGAAAGAACAGGTACACGTGTTGGAATAGGTCCTTAGTTGCCTTTAGTCATCCTCTCCATCATCCTGCAAAAAGAAAACATGTTAGATTTACACTTAAACTACAGTATCTGCAAATATCAGATTGAAGTCTAAGCTTGTATAAACTCTCACCTCACCATCTTCTCCCTCATCCTCCTCTTCATCTTCCTCTCCATCATCCTCATCCCCCTCTTCATCGATGTCCTCCAAACCTTCCTCCTCTTCCTCGTCGTCTTCCTCCTCACCTTCACCCTCCTCTTCATCCATATCAGGGACCTGAGCAGAATGGGAGCTCATTAAAACACAATCTGACTTGCATTTATGAAAGTGTAAATCAGTCTTAATCAATAATCATTCATACCAGGTAGTACTGCAGAGGGTTGGGCCAGATGTCATCTTTAATGACCTCTCCGAGTTCGTCAGCGCCTGCGTCGGAGTGATCGGTGAACCAGGTGAAGAAGCTCTCTGGCTCTTCATGTTGCCTTTTCTTCCCTGCCTTGTTCGGTGTCTGTCCAGTGCGCTTTGTCAGGTCCTGCATCAGAGAATTGATTAATAGAGAACCAACTTTATGAGCTAAAACGGTCTTCAATATAATAATAATAATAGTTGTTAACTCACTTTTCCAGCCTTCCATTTGATTTCAGTGGATTTTGAAGACGGGTCACCGCTCTCATTCAAATGGAACTCTTTTGAGAAAACTTTGTTTTCAAAGTAGGGATTTTCATCAAAGTACTGCAGAACACAATTATCGGTCAGTTGTTGTTTTATTATTTTTAAATGGTTTTATTGCGTTAGTATTACACTAGGCCTGATGAAAACCACACTTACAAAATCTATTCTGTAACCTGATTTGATGTCCTCAAACTCTGTGACCTCCACTCTGGTCAGGTAATGAAGCGCTTCTTCATCCTCCTCACCGAGCAAGGCTGAGACTATCAGTCAAAAACAACGTATAAGAACCCAGATATTACCATATTTAACCACACAAAAGATAAAATTATGCCCCAAGATTTAAAATGAGTTATATTCCCTCTCACCTTGTGGATGGTTGACGAATGTTGTGACCCAGAAGTTTGGAATTTTGGCTATGAGTTCTGATCTCTTCTGGAAGAATGGCTGACGTAGCTTATTGTACTTCTGCTCTACTTTTAAAATTTCCTCACTTGCCTGCTCATTCAATCTGTGAAAAGAAACAAACACCAAGATTAATACGCTTAATTTGACCCTTTTTGTCTTCAGATATATTTTATGACCTTTTCAACATTTAGGATAATAAATATGCATATAAAAATTCAACAAGCCGTTGTTGCAAAGCAGTGTGCCAAATTTACACTAAACATTTGTGACGACAATTTTATTAAGGCAGATGTGCAAAAAAATTTATTTGAATACATACTGTAATACCTCATTTGCCCAGCTAGCCTCTAGTGTTTTTACTTACATTTACACAAAAGACAGATGCTTGCATCTCAAGTAATTTGATACACTGATGGCATATTTCATATGAGTTCATTTTTCCTAACAACGCAAGCACCATTTGAATTTCAGGAAAACATACTATAGACTTTTCCCACACCATTTCTATTTAAAAGCAATTGTTTACAGTTTCAAAGATTACTCAACATTGCTGAGAAAAATAAAACAAAGGTAAACACCCTTTTTTAAATTATATACTTTGGATTTTTATTATAGGAACCTTTCATAACTAATGATATAGGTCTATAGTATATGATATGTTTATATGCAATTTTCATAATGTGACATTACACTGAACGCTGTGTGGGTTTATGAACAATGCAAAAGTGCACTTACAAACTATAGTTGAGCAGCACTGGCAAACTTACCTGTCAATTTCATTCTGTACTTCATCAATGTGTTCAATAGCCTCCTGTTGCTCTTTTTCTGAAACGCAATAAAACGGGGGAGAAAAATTACAATTGTGTCAAATGCACGTGCATTCCTCGTGTAAACTAAAACAAAAGATCGACTTTACAAGCTACACGCAAACAGCTCAATATAAATAAACAAAGTAAACACGATGTATAGACTAGAGGTGCACTTAGCGAAACAAAGCAACGCTATCTTTAGCCGATCTGGGTTAAACCCACAACGGAAAGGTAAAAGTGAAAGCGAGGTGTACCGCCGGGCGACCAGCTCAATCCGGTGCAGTTTCAGCAGCTGCTGCGCAAGGCCGCGAGGTTTAAACGGAGGAGGAGGCCACGCGCTGGGCCACATTTACCGTCCTCACAATGAAACAGACAATACGACCCTGCATTAGAAGTTATGTCGGAATAAAACGTGATTTAAAATCACTAAAACACGTCTACAGCTACTTGCGATACAGCGGCAGCGTGGTTTTCTGACACATGCGGGAACGGCGTGTGATGGCGCGGAGACACAATAACCAGTTAGCATATTAGCACAAAACAACATAACGCACAAATAACACGACTCGCTTTGGTTTTAAAAACACAGCCTTGGTCCCCTTACCAGATAAAACCCACCGGTAAACTATAATTTTTATTACCTACTAACGGCGCAAGAGCTCAATGTTCGTCGCGCGTGGCACAATGAAGCCGCCGCG